AAGGCTTCCCGGTCATCAGGCTTCAAGTCCAGCCTTGGCCTTAGGAAGCAGCCACCTCCAGTCACTGGTGATGCTCAAGACGGACATCCACGCATCAGACCAGACATCCCTTCTAAGACTGAGATTCGGTGACTCGGGGACATCTGCTGGCAGAGGTTTCACAATTAAATCCACTTAAAATGAAACACAGTAACCCTGGGCTGGTTAATTGGTGAAGGATCCGGAGCAGCCCTCCTTGGCCCAACACCCCCTGGTGGCCAGACCCCTGCCCACTGAGCCATTGGGGACCCCACCCAACACACTCTCTGGAGAAAAAGAAGTGATACTCTTGGTGTCCGGATGTCGAGAGGTCTGCCCTGCCTACTCCTGGCCAGCCCTCAGAGGGCATTTGGTCCAAGCCATGCCTGACACTATACCTTGAGGGATGGAGAACTCACTACCTGTCTAGTGTCCCCTAACCCCTCCAGCCTTAGTGAATGAATGAATGAAAAAAAAGCATTTATTAAGTACATACTATATGCAAAGCACTGTGCTAAGTACCGGGGACATAAATAAAAAAGCAGAAGACCGTCCTGGCCCTCAAAAAGCTTCCATTCTCGTAGGGGAGGGAGACAGCACTTAGTGGGGGCGCCCACCTGTTGTCCTGAAGGTTTATCTGTTTAAAGTCATTTCCATTGATCAGTCAACACGTAGGGCAGGGCCAAAGGAATCAGCATTTACTAAGTACCTACTACTGCCAGATACCGTGCTAAATGCCTTACAATTATGTCTTATTTTATCCTCACAAACACCCTAAGAGATATGTGCTATTATCCCCATTTTACAGCTAAGGAAACTGAGGCAGAGTTCAGTGACTTGCCCAAGGTGACCCAGTTGGAAAGTGTCAGGCTGGATTTGAACTCAGATCTTCCCGAGTCCAGGCCCAGTGCTCTAAGGTCCTGTGTATCAGCCTCATCTTCCCTGCCGACAACAAATCTGGTACAGGACCACACATTTGTGGGGAACCACGTTGTGTATGCAGAGGCAGAAAATGATCCTGTTCCATGATTTCCCTCATGATATTACTTTGCTAAAGACGGCACAGCACAGTGGATAGCAGTCTTGAAATCAGCAAGATCCAGGTTTGAGACCCACCCGTGACACATCCTGGCTGTGGAAGCACGGCCAAGTTATCACCATCCCGTGCACTCCAGACCAGAAATGACCAAGGCTGAGGTTTCTAACATTTCAGCTCAAAACAGGCCAAGACGGCATGGGGAAATATTTAACAAAATAAATAAAAATGCAGCGAAACAGCACACTAATATGTCAGTAGGTGGCCCCAGGAACCCCCTCCCATACAGACGGCAAGAAGAGGGGTGCTGAGTTGGCTGGTCCCCGCCCACCTTTGCCCCTCTCCGACATGTCCGACATTCAGGCCCCGCTCTGCAGCAGACGAGGCTGAAGCCTGTCACCATCTGCCTCCTTCTGAAGACCCCCCAAAACAGAGCTGATCTCCATCTCTCCAGCTCTTGGCTGGCCCCATGGGGCAGACCTAAGAGCCTCGGACCTAAGGTACAAAAAAAAGGAATTCTGACTCAACAGAAGGAAAGCCTCCAACGGGATAGGGCTGCACAATGCGCAGGGAGTTCTGTCACTCACTAAAGGCATGAGAGAGAGACACAGAGACAGAGAGAGACAGAGAGACAGAGTGAGTGAGTGTGTGTGTGTGCGTGTGTGTGTGTGTGAGAGCACATGAACACACATGCAAGTGCCCGTCTATCTGGGCAAGTCTACAAGTCTGGGCATGGCACCCAGGATGGTTTGCTGCACCCCAAAGCTGCTTCTCTCTCCAGACACTTGCTCAGTCACTGAATCCAGATAGGCTCCTCCCTTCTTTGCTGATGTACTTGGTTTCTGGGTCCCCGCCACTGCCTCCATCTGCTTAGCACATAGTAGGCACTTAATAAATGCCTATGCTTGACGGGAAAAGCTGAGTGAGTGACAGCAGGAAATCAGAGTTTCTCAGCTTTGGAGTCATTCCCTGGACCAGCACCGGAAGGCTCCTGGCTGCAGTCCAGGCCTGGTGCCTCCGACAGCTGGAAGGGCTGTGCTCCCAAGAGAGAGTCAGGGGGCCAGGGCACCAGGGGTCTGCCTTCCCCGGGTCAGGAAGGGATGGTCCCCAGCATGGTCAGAAGTCTGAGGGCCAAGAGAATGAGGGCGCCAGCAGACAGAAACATGGAAAAACCAAATGTTGGCATTTCTGGCCTGGTGGAATCTTCCCTCTAGTGTCCAAAGCAAGAAAAGGCAAGCAACGGTAAACTCTAAAAAACAGACCTAAAGACACACAGACAGCAGATCTGGTTAAGGGAAGACTTCCATCTCTTTTTAAGGAACACAATTTAAACAAATACACCTCAAGTGTCCATGTGCTCTGAGCATCGAGCACAGGGTTCAAATCCCAACTGGAGGCTTCCAACCTACATGACCCTGAACAAGTCACCACCTCTCAGAGCCTCAGTTTCTTCATCTGTAAAATGGGGATAATAAGCACTGACCTTGCAGGGTTGTTGGGAGGCTAAGATACCGTACGAAAAGCGCCTTGCAAACCACCAAGTACCATTCAAATGTTGGCTGTTAGCATCACCGTCAGTTGTGCCCTGCCTCTTCGTGACCCATTCGGAGTTTTCTTAGCAAAGATACTGGAGCAGTTTGCCGTTTCTCTCTCCAGTGCATTTTACAGGGGAGGAAACTGAGGCAAACAGGGTTAGGAAGATGTCCTCCTGACCCCAGGCCCAGCACTCTATCCACTCGGCCACCTAGCCGTCCTGAAAAAAGGATTGACAGTACCTGCCGTGCAGGACTTCACCCTTCTCTGGGGGTACAGAGAGGCAGAGTGCCTTTGGGAGGGCGGCATCCAAGAAGATTCCAACTCCAAACTTTTAAGAAAAAATTAGTAGCGGTACTGAAAGGGAGCCACTAGGTGATGCAGCTGAGAGCACCAGCCCTGAAGTCAGGAAGACCCGAGTTCAAATGCAGCCTCTGACACATTAGCTATGTGACCCTGGGCAAGTCACTTAACCCCAATTACCTAAAAAAAAA